GGCCTCCATCCTACCCTGACCTCAATCCTATTGAGAACCTTTGGAGCATCCTCAAGCAAAAGATCTATGAGGGTGGGAGGCAGTTTACATCCAAACAGCAGCTCTGGGAGGCTATTCTGACATCTTGCAAACAAATTCAAGCAGAAACTGTCCAAAAACTCACAAGTTCAATGGATGCAAGACTTGTGAAGCTGCTATCAAATAAGGGGTCCTATGTTACAATGTAACGTGACTTGTTAAAATGTTTAAAAAGTTAAAATGTTGTTAAAAAGTCTGATTGAAATAGCTTTTGATTTCAGTAAATATGCTGCAAACACAACAAATGACCATTTTCAGTTTTTTACAACCTATAAAGTGTTTTGAAACTTACTGTGCGTAATAATTTGGAACAGTGCATTGTAAGTGTTTTATGTTTAAAAAAAATCCTGTTATCATTAGGAGATTTGTTCAATAAAATTTGAATTGTACTCGTAATAGTTGATAACATGAGAATTATGCTGACTGTTATTTACATCAATTATTTAGGTAAATGAGAAAATTATCATTTGCATAATAATTTGGAACACGGTGTAAATGATTCTTTTGATTTTGAAATATAGTATTTCAATGTTTCTTTTCATGTGTATTTTAACTATGGCCAGGGCCGGCGTCACCAGCACAGGCAGCCACCTTAGGGCACCAGGTTAGGGGGGTGGTAAAATGCCCCTTCGCCTGTATAGACAGACCCCGGTGCTCCATTTGTCCCCTCCATGCCCCCATTCCCAGTCTGCTCAGATTTCCCTGGTGCCTCTTTTGCTTATCTATAGTGTTTAGCCCTTTCCTCCCCCAAAATTCCGGTCCAGCTTTTCCCTCAGCCTGTGCTTCCAGCACTGTCATGTTCTCTCACTTTACAGTGCTGGCTGTGCAGGAGCTCCTTGTGGGATCAGAGGGCTTCCCCACTGGGACTCCACTGCTTACATCCTCTGCTGAGCCCAGCCTGCTTGTCGGCACTGCAGCCCTAGCAGCAGCGAGAGCAGGAGGGGACAGAGGCAGGAGAAAGAGCAGCCAAATGGCTTGCAGCAGCATGAGATGGGTAACTGGGGCGGCTGGGGCATGCTTACCGCGGTGTCTGGAAGCACAGCACCTACAGTTTAGATGCCTTTTAAGCAATCGTATCTGTTTGTTAAAAACCCAGCGAACTAGCAACCCAATCAAAGGAAATTTATAAGATCAAAAACAATAAAATTGTTGATGTCTATGAGTCTTGGAGGGTTGTTTTACTGACCAGAGTACATGGTCATTCATTAAAATGATTTTGAAGGCTGAAGTTTTTTTTTTACCTTCATACATTCTATGCACAGAGGTAAAAAAAAAAACTTCTGTATCCAGTTCCCCTGCAAAGTTACCCCTTATACTTACCTGAGGCAGTCTCAATTCAGGAATGTGAATGAGAGCAGCGGCTCTCCTGGGTCTCTCTCTTCTCATTTGCTCTGACACAGCAGTGAGCGCTATTGGCTGGAGTACACAAGAAGAGGAGGATCATGGCTGCTTTATGCAAAATCATTACACAGAGCATGTAAGTATGACATGTTTGTTATTTTTCTTTTTAAATATGTTTTTACCTTTCAAATCACTTTAATCCTATTTTAAAAACACCAACAAGAAACAAGCACCGGAGAATGGTCCACCAGACACTTAGGGGTTTATTTACTAAAGCTGGAGAGTCCAAAATCAGACTCCCTTCTGCATAGAAACCAATCAGCTTCCAGGTTTCATTGCCAAAGCTTCATTGAACAAGCTGAGGTTAGAAGCTGATTGGTTTCTATGCAGAAGGGAGTCTGATTTTGGACTCTCCAGCTTTAGTAAATAAACCCCTTAATGCTTCCCCCAACCACTGCTAGAGAGCTCTAAACTAGGCAGACAGGGACAGCACCCCAGGCACACACAGCATAGGAGGATTGCAGCAGGGGGAGAGGACTACATAAGGAGACATCAGGGGACAGGGAGGACAACATACGCCATCTGTCCTTGCCTAGAAATCCCACTCTATACACTCATATCCCCTCCATATACAGGAGCACAATACAGCTGCTAACCCACCACTGTATGATCATTACCAATTAGGCCTCTTTCACCCAATTGGTCTGATCGGGTCCTCCTGTCCGTTTTTCAGGTGGACTTGATTGGACCCTCCATTCTCCTATGAAGCAATGGATTTAAACAGACATGTGTCCGTTTACACCTGCCTACCTCCAATCTGATCCACTAAAAACAAACAAAGGGAATCCATTCTCCTCCAACTGGGTGGATTGGATAGGAGGGCAGTCAGGTATAAACTGACAGCGGAGTTTAATTATATCCAACCACCCATGCAGTGGAGCGGGCTGTAACCTGTCATCCACCCGCACTGCTCTGCTCACCAAGGGTTCCACAGACAGATCCCTTGCAGAGTATTCCTCCCCATGTGAAAGGGGTCTTACAGATTACTTTGCTTAATCGTAACAGCAAGGGGTTCACCAGTGCTCCTCCATCCTCTTCCAACCCCCCCCCCCCCGAACCAAAGGGTGTACAATTCCTACAATAGAAACTTAATAGGTCAAAAGGAAGGGGGAAGCTTTTTTTTTTTCTTTGCAGGAGGGATTCGACCATAAGAATCAGCTGAGGAGCTTCACACTGCTGCCCGACCACAGACTTTTATTAGAAGTGGGGACAGTTCATGGCAGTCGGGAATATATCCAGGAAGCTTAAGGCTGCATACAGTAGGAAGCCACCTTATGGTGCCAGGATGGAACGGGGGGATGGAGCAGGATGCACCCTTGCCTGAGTAGACAAACATCCTTGCACCGGCTCTGATTATAGATGAAATATTATTAATTTCTGCAATATCTTCTCAAAGGTGTCCCTGCTTTGGCATACCAGTGAGACATGCATTGACTAGTGACAATGTCTAATGATGTACAGGAATCACAGTACCAAATTTATACCATTTTCTGGAAGCATCTTTATTTCATAATTGACAACTCCTGCTCACATCTGACATAAGTTTGTATAAACAGTGTCGGTGTATAGAGGCCTGCAAACGCCATCTCAATAACAATCAATTGGGAAATACATTTCAAGTTCTATCAAGTCTTACTCCTAGACTCGTGTTCAATTTATTGTTCTACCACTGTTTGAAAGACGTGTTTGCTTTTGGTTGCATTTTGAAGGTGGGTCCCTCAAATCCCCAGTAGAGACACAGACAGCAATAAAAACCTGTGAGGGGTGCAAACCCTTACATGCGCAGTCTAAAACAAAGAATAATGCTTATGCCATACCTATAGTTTATGCTCGTAGCTTTTTAAAGGCATTTTAAGGAAATTAGTTTTGCAAGATGTTACCATTTACAGTCCAGACTTTTTTGCAGATCTGGAGAATACTTTTGCCTGGCTGCTAGATTTAATGCTAAATCTAGGGAAGACATATCACAGCATGATACTTTAACAATCTGCTTTTACCTGCATCTTTTACTGCTTCTATGAACTGTGTAATGAATTGATCCTTTGTCCAGGACAGCTAACTGGCTTTTCACGCTTTAATATCTATTGTAGGTACATTTTTTAAATTCAGTTTGATTACATATATAATACAAAAACAACAAACACAGTTTCAATGTTTAATATGCAGTAAATAAAAAGGTATTTTTGCCAGTTATCCAGTGGACCTTTATAACCACAACTACATTAAACTTCAATATTGGTGTTTAAAAAAGAAAACCAAAAAATCGGGAGCATACAGTGGAACCTGCACAACTAATAAAAAGTTGCATTCAATTATTCATCCTTTTAAAAGTCAGTTGAAGTCATGCGTGACACTCTGGTTATTTGTTTTCACCTGTGGAAGATCAGGAAAGCTTGTGCTGCTTATTTATGTAAGTGGAACCCTCATATCTCCTAATTTCTGTAGTTACCTAAATTTTGGCTCAGTAATATATAATAGGTTTTTCACTGCTGTTCATATTTTTTTTTCTTGGTGTGACTGTTAAATAAATCTAGATTGAGCTCAAAATTCATGAATGTGTATTTAACCTTGTAATAAATGTAATTGTATTTGCAGCCTTTAGTATCTGATATTAAATGTAATGTGTAATTATAGTGGTATATTGAATAGTCTGTCTCTGTTTTGTATAGCACTCACCTCCAGGTGCCAGAATACAGATCCAACCCTGGCATTCTAGCATGAAAACTCAATTTCCCCTACTAAATTGGGACCTGATTTACCCCCTTTCCACCTATACATTGCTGGACCAATAAAGAGAAGTAGTAGACAGGAACAGGTAGGGCCACACAACAACTTTATAGATGGGGTTAAGGTTTGCATATTAGAGTGCCCGAGTTTTTTGGAGTCCCAGGTTACTTTGGAAGAGAGCTAAGACAACATGCAAGTGACTACACATCTGAATGATAGATTACTTTTATGTGGGTACTGACCTCTTTTGAATTTCTGAAAATAAAGGATATTAGAAATTGTCTTAGCACCACTGATTCCATTCAAAATATTTACTAAGTTAAAGTGCCAGTGCACCCAAAAACTGATATTTTTTAGTTTTTAATAGTTGCTGGTCAGTTAAACCACCCAACAGTTTCTTATCCTGTGCTTTTATTCCCAGGACCAGGGGCAGACTGACCATTCGAGCATTCGGGCATTGCCCGAGGGCCCGGGGTCAGTAGGGGTCCCCATTAAATGCCCCTGGTGTGGGCAAGGACACAGGGGCCCCTGATCCCCTATTGCCCAGGGGCCCCATGAGTTGTCAGTCCGCTCCTGCTCAGGACAATAATTATAAATTTAAAAGAGACATAAAGGGTAAATCTTGATGCATAAGTCCTCAAGATGTATGAAGCCACCTACTTTTTAACTGAACAGCTCGCTTTTGGGATGCCTTAATTTATCATTGACAGTAACTTAGTACTTTTTTTAAGTTCACAAAACTTTAACTCAATCTCAGCATTGTGAACATAAGTTCATCCCGATTGTACCATTGTCTATCTTCTCTGAGTGGCAGAAGGCTTCCTGGATTGGCTAGAAGATGGAGATCGAAGAACAGGATAAGGCATAACACGTGCAGGTGTCCCTCTTTGTTCATTTTCTTGCATGCTTTGGCGGATCTCACGGAGTGTTTCACTGGGATTGTTAAGCAAGCGCTGGAAGAAGCTTTCTCGTGTGATTGGTTTCTCCTGGCAACGAAAATTAACAGCAATACCCACTTGGGATTTCATCTCCCTTGAGAATCCATCAGAGGTACCATCAAAACATCTGCCAATAGCAATTTCTTTTGCTAGTCGTGGGTTTTGATCAGTAACTGTGTAAATTCCATAGTTGTGCCCTAGTGGGTCAGCTGGAGCCAACATATTAAATGTTTCAGTATTGTTTCCTAGTGCAAGTGGTGGATGACGACTGAGATATTCTTCTAGAAGTCTGTTGACCTTTGTCACATGACAGCTTCCTTGAGGTGTTACAATGACCAATGTTCGGTCTACTAAATTTTGATCAAATAGCATTCCACTACATTTGAATTCTAGACAGGCTGCTGAACTACCTTCCACTTCCAGGTCCCTTACACTCCGGGTGTCTCTAAGTCCATATAGCTGACCTACTGTATGGGTATGAGTCCCTCCAATATTTCGTGTTCTAACCATATAATCCTGTGGTCCCTGTATTCCAATCTTTATGTAACAGGCACGAAATTCTTGTGGATTTGGCCACCAGGACAGGTAGCTACCTATCCATGAAGACAAGTCTGTCTCATCAAAGGGTAAAACATTATATTCATATTTATCTTCTTCTACTCTAAAAAAACGAAAGTGATTGTCTGAGATAGAAGCCTGCTCACAAGCTCGTAAGTTTCTGTAGGCATAAATGGGGCCACGGTTTTCTGCAAAAGTGTTTGGGTTTGGCTTGGCCAGGTTAATTTTAAAAGCTGTCTTTTTACCAGCAGAATCTTCATGGTCAGTTCGTTGATAATTTAGCTTAGATAAATAAGGCTGGGTCACTCCAACTACATTGGGGTTTAGTTTGGGAGAAGATGGGACAGCTTCAAGCTCTTCACCACCCATTGTAGCACTGACATAGGCAGAATAGGCATCTGGCTGGACAGCATCACAGAATGCAGGGAGGCATGCTCCATTTTTCCCTGTTACCACACTGTCAAACCTACCCCATGCTCTAGGGTTTGATGAAAATCCTGGCATAGGTTCTAGATTTATTAGTGTTACAACTATTCCTTTTAGCTGTTCATTAGGCATAAATTTATCATTCATGAAGGCCCGTACCTTGACAAAACATCTCCTAAATTCTGGCACATCCAAATTAAAAAGCCTTCTCTCCCGTATTTCCAATTGTCCAATTAAAAAAGACCTCTCTTCCCTTCTTCTCCTTTTATCCTCACTTGCCAATCTAAAATGGCTTTCTTCTTCCCAGAGACCAGTCTGTGGATTTAAAGACCAGAGTTTCATTTCTTTGACATGTTGAGGCATCTTAATTTGTTCTACGTCCACTCTCACCTCCACTTTACCAGTTTGAAGCAGGGAATTTGTACTGTCCTCCCTGAAGTCCAAATGAAACATTCCATAGGTCCTGAGAGGAGAAATATCTCCATCTCTGCTGACAAAATTTAAATCACTTGAAGCAGCAGTGACAGAGCTGATGTTTCTAGGGTCCAAGAAGGTTAAACGGGCCTTAACGGTACTATTGTAGGATTCTCCAGAAGTCCTACTGAAAGAATTTGGCGGTATTATAATCTCACCAATGGGGTCCTCACCAAGTAAATCTCCAAGAGAAATTATATTGGTCTTGTTAGGATTCAGATAAGTTGGGTCTTTTTTTCTCATTACTTTTACATCTTGATACACAGTATTTCCTTTTGGATCAAATGGAATAACTTTTATAGTCTCAACAAACTTTTCCTGACGATCCGTAAATGTAACCACCAATCTTTTAGTTCCCTCTGGAACTTCCAGAGTGAATTCCCCCTTGTAGCCAGTAAATCCCATGTTTTCTCCACTCAAAAAGATTTGTCCAAACCGAAGTGGTTCCCCAGTGTCATATGCAGTCACTCGTCCACGAACCATCACTTTACGTCGGGAGCACTCAGCACAGCCACATTCTACAATAACCATAAGAGGGAGAATATATCCTGGACACTTTACCTCTTGTAGCTTCATTTGTTTGACCCCACAGCAATAGTTTATTTTATCTTTACACTGGAGATCTGAACTTAGGTGGTCCACACATTGCGTGTTAGGACACTTGCCAACATTGTAGTAATAAGAGCCAGTTTTATTTTGAAAACAATCCATTGGTAGCTTGATCAAATGCTCATCTGGGGACTTGTTACAGAGGGATTCACTTTTACCTAGAACACAAAGCTTATGATTAAAAAAAACGTAAAATAGTTAGAAAAATATATGACAATATATTCATTGGTCACTTACTTATGACTTTCAGATGGGCTACAGAAGACCTGATAACCCCCACTCCATTGCTTGTTTTGCATTGATATATCCCTGCATGCGTGGTTTTAATGTTTCTTAAAGTTAAACTTTTGTCATACTTGAGTTTATGTTTGTCCAGCAATGTTCCATTGTGATACCTGTAACAGAAAGCAGAATATTCAGTAACATAAATAGGAAGATTTACTTTTAGTTACTGTGCGTGAGTGAACCTAGAAGACTTGATCATGTCAACGGAATGATCACAAGAAGTTGGATATACCAATTACTCATTTAACACATAATACATCCCTGGCAAAAATCCAGTCATTATCCTTATTAAATGTTAATATTTTTGTGGCCATGCAGCTGTTTGAGGCAGATTGATGCCTTATTTTGTCTTTTTGCATGTTTTTTTTATATGGCTGCGGCATAGTGAAAGCAGAATTACAATATGTGATTTTAAAGTGCAAACAGTTTTGACATACAGTAATACCCAAAATGAACTGAGGGTACACAGAAACAGCAAATGGCTTATTTACACAGCAAATGTTTTGGTGAAGTGAGCTTTTACGTTCAGATCTCTGCGGGTACAGGAGTGTGTGTAAATCGCGCACATGAATGGGCTGCTGTGCCGGAAACGCAGCTGCAGGAAAACCGCGCATTTGTGCACCTAGCCTTAGAGAAACAAACTGAAAAGGAAGAGTTATCATCTAATTATCATTTAATATAATCCAAGGACAACAAATGTGTTCTTCGTATCACCTTTCCGTAGATGATAATGTAATTCTACAGCCTTCCCTATGTTGTAGATTACCTTAAAATGACAAGCGGAACTAAACTTTTGTAATCAACATTCATTAATTTTAATCCGTATGCTGCTAACATTAGTAAAGTAGTTATGTAAACAGCGATTGCACCAAACGTGACATATTGAACCAGAGCAATAATTCTAAAGCCATCATTTATAATAAACTGATGAGCTGTAAAAGCTTTTAAAGCATCACCTATGAAACTTTGTAGGTACCGAAGTTTGTCGCCATTTCATTGGCACACACAAATTTGAGTCTGGAAATTTTTGGTATCTATTTATAATTAGAGATGAGCGAAGTATTCAAAAATTCGATTCGACTGATTCGGCGAATTCGTGGACAATATTCGATTCGAGTCGAATATATTCGCTGTGAATTTAACTTAAAAAAGGGGTGTTTCTAGGCTTCAGAGAGACTTAATATTAGTGCAGAACACTGTACCTTTAATTTAAATGCCCTTGGAGTCTGCTGGGGAAGAGAAATAATACTGTCAGTCAGTATGACATGCAGATGAGTGCCGTCGATCTTAGAATCACCGCACACTTCACTCATTTGGCCAGTCACGGGGCCAAAACCAGTGTTTGGAGCCACAGTGTGGCGGTGGAGGCAGCAGCAATGGGAGGCCATACAGCAACCTATGACAAAATGGAAACCAGCAGGAGTGTGAGGAGACCTCAAAGTGGCACATGGCAGAGTGGGAGCAATGGGAGGCGGTACAGGGACCCATGTCACACTGTGGACCCAGCAGCAGCGTGACGAGGCGGTACGGGGGCCCATGGCAGATTTGGGGCCTGGCAGCACCTATGGGAGGCCTGTAATCTGCCAGCAACCTATGACAAAATGGAAAACAGCAGGAGTATGAGGAGACCTCAAAGTGGCACATGGCAGAGTGGGAGCAATGGGAGGCGGTACAGGGACCCATGTCACACTGTGGACCCAGCAGCCCCATGAGGCAGATTAGGGGCCTGGCAGCAGACTATGGGAGGCGCCGTAATCTGCCAGCACCCTATGTCAAAAAATTCAATCAACCCACACCAGCAGTGTGAAGAGACCTGAATGTGGCACATGGCATGAGTTGTGGCGATGGAGACAGCAGCAATGGGAGGCCTTACAGGGACCCATGAGGAAGACTCTGGACCGTTGGCAACAGCAATGAGGTAGGGCGGTATATAGGGGCCTATGGCCAGATTAGGGGCCTGTCAGCAGCTATAGGAAGGCCCTCGTAATCTGCCAGCACCCTAATGTCAAAAAATCAAACACAACCAGCAGTATGAGGAGACCTGAAAGTGGCACCATGGCAAGAGGTGTGGCGATGGATGACAGCAGCAATGGGAGGCCGTACAGCGGACCCATGACAGACTCTGGACTTATGGCAGCAGCATTAGGAGATAGGGCGGTATATAGGGGCCCCATGGCAGATTAAGGGTCCTGGCAGCAGCTATGGAGGCCCGCTAATCTGCCCAGCAACCCTATGTCAAAAAAAATTCAAGCACACCAGCATTGTTGAGGAGACCTGAAAGTGCAACATGGCATGAGAGGACTGTGGACCTGGCAGCAGCATGAGAAGCCGGTATAGGGGCCCATGGCAGATTAAGGGGCCTGGCAGCAGCTTATGGGAGGCCCATAATCTGCCAGCACCCGTAATGTCAAGGAAAAAATCAACACACCAGCAGTGTTGTGAGGAAGACCTGAAAGTGGCACCACGGCAGAGGTGTGGCGATGGAGACAGCAGCAAAGGGGGGCCGTACGGGCCCATGAAGATCTGGACCCGGCACAGCATGAGGAGGCGGTATAGGGGGCCCATCAGATTAGGGGCCTGGCACGCTATGGGGGGCCCCTAATCTGCCCGCACCCTAGTCAAAAAAAATTTAACACACGGGAGTGTGAAGGCCGAAGTGGCACATGCAGAGTGTGGCGAGGAGACGAGCAAGGGGGCCGTACAGGGGACCCATGAAGAACTCTGGATTGGGGCAGCCAAAGAGGGGGCGGAAAATAGGGGGCCTATGGCAGATTAGGGGCCTGGCAGCAGCTATAGGAGGGCCCCTAA